GATCTTCCTGGCTCAGCCTCCCAAGCCATTGAGACTAGTGTGTGTGTCACCACACCTGGCAATATGCCTCTGTGTTTTGTTGCTGGTTTTTTTTTTTTTTTTTTTTTTTTTTTTGCACTGGGAGTTGAACCCAGAGATGCTTAACCACTGAGCCACATCCCAAACCCATTTTTATATTTTATTTTGAGTTGCTTGAGGCCTTTCTAAGAAAGCTGAAGTTGGCTTTGGGAACATGTGACCCTCTTGCTTCAGCCACCCAAGCCACTGGGATTACAGGCATTTGTGACCATGCCCAGCAGTATGCCAGTGTTTTGACTGTGACCCATCAAATGAAGTCAGGTGTGAAATTTTCCACTTATGTTTATCATGTCAGCACTTAAAAAGTTTCAGAGTTTTGTACAGTTTGTGTTTCAGATTAGGAATGCTCGACTGCAACATGCCCCCCCAAAAAAATTAACAACAATAATAAAAAAACAAAAACAAAAAACAATTGCCATAGTCCAGAACACCTGCTTTGCTTTCCTCCTGTTAGTGCCTTCAATTAGTCAAATCCAGCTGGAAACCAGAGGCAAAGGAGCCTGGGTGATGTAGTTCACAGCACCCTGGCTCGGCCTCTTATGATCAAGAGTAGGGGGAAGAAAGGCAAAGAATAGGGTAGGGAGGGGCAAAGAGGCAGTAAGTGTCACAGTCCACCCTTTGCCCCTCAACTTTGTTCTAGTTCTTCTCTGGCAGCAAGAAAAACCTTCATCTCCAAAACAGCTGGGAGCAAGGCTCAAAGCCCACCAGCCATAGTATCAGAATCCTGTCACTCAGTCACATTCCCACCCAGAGTCCAGACTAGAACACTAGCTAGATGGCAGGGGATGAGAGAAGAAACCAACCAATCCACTCAGTATGCAGATAGTGACTGTAGTCACCACGTCTGTGACTGATGGTGAGGCAGAGGTCAATAATCATCCTGGCTTTTTGTTAGCATCTCTTAGTTCCTCTTGCACTCCCTGACCACCTTGGCTGGGGCCATTCTGTAACTGGCAGCTGACCCAGGCCTTCATCCCTACCAGGCCTGAGCCTATGGTCACCCTGTCTTTGCTGCTTACTATGGTGTCCAGTGACTATTGTTAGAGAATTTGAGAGCACTTCTCCCTGACTCCATGGATGCCCAACTTCTCAACAAACTTCTCCTTTCCAAATGGCAGTGGAGCCCAGTTGTCCTTGGTGATCAAGATCACACTCACCCAGGATGCTATGGCAACTCCTTGCCTATTGGTTCAGTTGTCCAAGGAGCTTAGAGTGGCCAGCAGATAGCCACTCTACCACTCACAGCTTAATGGAACCATGGCTGTGCTTCCTGGTGGTGGCCTTGGAAAAATAGGACCTCCAAACCTGCTGAGCCTGAGGTTACTGCCTGAGTTTGAATTCCTCAAAAGCACACCTCAAGATAAGTTTTTTGTGTGTACAGGCAATTTTGGGGGAAAATGCTACCAGGGAAGACTAGTAAAGGAGAGGGAAAAGCAGGATAGGGGAGGGGAAGAAGTGACAAATGGATGCAAGTTGAAGCAGGTCTTGGCTTCAGCCTAAACCCACAGGAAAGGTCTGGAGTGTAAGTCATTATTGGGGTTACTTGCACACAAGGATGAAAAGCTGGCTTTCAGTCTCCATTACCCCTCAGTCATTGGCTAAGGGTTACCATAGGAAGAAGTAAATTCCCAGGCTCCTGTAGCTACCTGAGCCCATGGGCCATGCAGGCTTTGGGAATCTAAGGGACATTCTTTGAAAAGAACCTCATATGTGGCTGTTGGAAGCAAAAACACCCAAACCAGGAGAGGCCCAGAGATGAAAATAGAGTATCTGGGTAGAACTCCAACATTATCTGTTACTTTACAGAGATAGGAAACAAATTCCATAAGTATGTTATTAAGGCACAAGAATGAGTGGGCTGTGGTGTTGGCTACACAACCATGTGAATATACTAAAAACCACAGAATTGTACACTTTAAATAGGTAGATTCTATGGCATGCAAGTTACATGCTAAAGACAGTGTTATTTTTAAACAAAAGAGCTGGGGGGCATTCCTGGTTGGAGACGGCACCATAAAATACCTATCACTGACTGGTTAAGGCATGGACCCTATCCTATAGGACAGGTCCCCTAACTCACAGGGTGCTGTCTTCTAGCTGGTGGTATAATGGAACCTCAGTAGGTTGTTCCAACATCCCCACCAACCAGCTGCCAGATGCAGCCCACTGATATATTTCTCTATTAGTTGAGTTGCTGGTTGATGTGGCATGCAATGGACATGGCACTCTGAATGCCACAGATGGCAGTACCAGCAGAAATCTCCAGAAGGGAAGATGAATCTGGACCAGATTCCATAAGACTAATTGCTGCCCCCTCATGATGGAAAGAATCCAATGTAATCAATTGACCATCATTGTGGTTTCCTGAAGGATGGTGTCATCTGAGCGCCACTGGCAGCTTTGGCTGGGTTATTGGCACACTGGGCCTCAGCAGCACAGTCAAATCAGCTGTGGAAAGCGGAAGTCCATGCTGTTCAGTCAGCCTATGAGAGGTGACTATTTTTGCAGTTTCAGACTGAAGGCTGTCCCCCAGAATTCATGTGCTGACCCTCAAACCTCTAGTGGTTATACTTGGAGATGGGGCCAAGAGTACTTAAGGAAGTAATTAAGGGTAAATGAGGTCATAAGGCCCCTGGTCCAATAGGATTAGTGTCCTTATAAGAAAAGACCCTAGAGCTTATTCTGTCCCTGCCTCAAGTCTGTCTGTATTCTTCCTATCCTCCCTCCCTCCCTTTCCCGCTGTGAGCACCCAGTGGGATATTGGCCACCTAGAAGCCAAGAGAAGAGGCCTCAAAATGAAACCTACCTTGATTGGCACATCGATCTCAGATTTCCCAGCCTCCAGAATCATGAGTAACAATTTTCTGTGGTATTTTACTATGGCCACCTAAGCAGAGTAAGACACCAGCTGTCATGGTCACTGAGTTTGAATTACTGCCTGAGTTTGAATTCCTCAAAAGCATACCTCAAGATGAGTTTTTTTGTGTGTGTGTACAGGCAATTTTGGGGGGAAATGCTACCAGGGAAGATTAGTAAAGGAGAGGGGAAAGCAGGACAGGGGAGGGGAAGAAGTGACAAATGGATGCAAGTTGAAGCATCCATCTTGGCTTCAGCCTAAGCCCACAGGAAAGGACATGGACAAGACTAGCTGAGGAAAGCAATTAATTGACATCCACAAAAATGGGTCATATGGTTCACCCACTTATCAAGAGCCTCCTCTGCAGTGGGACATGGGACATGAGGACCTTCCCACGCTGTTCCTATTTTAACAGATCTAGCCATATACCTACTACCTTGTCACCAGTGTTCCAATCACGTTTTTTCCTAGTCCCCGAGCACCCATAACTCCCTGAGTATGAATCAATGTCAATCCATACCTCAGGCTTTCTCTCCTGTGAGGGGTGACTGGGGAGGTGTCAGGCAGTCCTGCGCAGCGGAGGGTCTCCTCTCACCCCTCTTTCAGGGCAGCCCCTGAGGGAACTGAGCCACTTTTTGGCCAGTGCTGGTGCAATAGGCACACCCATTTGTAAACCAGACTTTTAGTGGTTTCTGTTAACTGATCAAAAGGAATTCCCCGAAAGAGATGACAGATGCCATAAAACTGACCTCTGCCTTCTGGGCCTGCTCCAGCCTAGTTCTGTGCACACCTTTCTGTCGAATGCTGAAGTGTGGCATTTAGCAATCGGCCGTGTGCAGTGTGGAGCGCCTCATCCTGCTAGCTTTAGGGTTTGGAGAAGCAGATAAAACCCAGAACATTCACTCATTTGCTGCATAATGAATTACCACCAGCATGGGGGCTTACGACAACACCTGTTTCTTATCTCACCATTTCTGGCAGCCGGGAATTGGGTGATGGCCTGACTGGGTCCTCTGCTGGGGTCTCATCAGGTTGAAACCAATGTGCCACGGGAGGCACCATCTTAGCTGAAGCTCCCCTCCTCTTCCCAGCCCACTCGATGGGTGGCAGAATGCAGTTCCTTGCAGCTCTAGATTGAAGTGCCCATACCCTTGCCGGCTGCCAGTGGGAGTCATTCAGCTCCTAGAAGCTGCCCTGGGGTCCTGGCCATGTGCCCTTCTCAACACAGCAGCTGCTGCTTCAAAGCCAGCAGGACTATCTCTTCTGCTGTGACATAGTCATTTATAACTAACCGCTGGAGTGATTGGTCCATTGTATTTTTGACTCAAGGGGAGAGGATCATACAGACCATGTATGCTGGGGGCCAGACTCAGGACCATTTTAGAGTTCTGCCACATACCTGGTTATAATGTGCAGTTCTGGCCTCATTCAGGGTCCTGGCAGGAAACAGATGGTGTAATCAAATTAGGATAGGTGGAGGGGGCTTAACGAAGAAACTGATAGAAAGTTTTGGCAGGGAGTAGGGAACTACAGGGAGGTGAGTGGCTTCAGAGGTGCAGAGTTGGCCTGGAAGGCTGTGCCCCAGCTCCTTCAGGAAAATGTGCCAGGCAAGGGCGACTGTGGGGGGACCCACAACCTGTCTGCTGCTTTGGCCCTAAAGCCTCCAATGATATTTGTGGGGAGAACCGACTTTGCAGCCAGGGGACCTGAGTTCCTGTTCTAGCTTCTCTATCTGCCCTCTCCAAGCCCCTTTTCTGCTGGGTGGATTGACTAGCAGTGCCTTTCCTCAGATGCTGCCAAACTCTAGCTTCTGCAGAATCCGGGAGGTGACATTCCTGTGAGTGCCAGGGCCAGGAAAGTGAAGAGGACCCAGGAATGGGGTCGGCCTCTCCCTGTGGTGGCCCTCAGGGCAGTGAGAAGTGAGCCTGCTTGAGGGTGCCTGCCACACATGGAAGAGCAGCGCATGGAGGGGTTGGGTGGCCTCCGGATGCACTCCCGGCGCTCACCCCAGCAGGCCCAGTGACTCTCGCCACAGGAACATGTGTTTGCCACCACAAGCCTTGAATGTCTTGTAAAACTCACAATTTGTTCAAAAGAATAAACAGCATGAAAGGGGACGCACAGCCTCCATCCTGGGCTGGCAGGGGTGTGGGGCAGGGCTTCCAGGCTGCTTCCATTCAAGCCAGATGGGGAGCGTCTGTTTTCATGGAGCGCTGGGCCAGGAAAGCCCTTCCCAGCAGACTGGGTACTCAACTCTGGCCTGGGATGGAAGGGTACAGGACCTTGCTTTCCATCTATAAAACAGGGATGACGATCAGATGGTCGTCTGCAACGCAGGATGGATAGGTGGGAAGTGCTGAGAGGGCAGGGGCCAGGTGACACAGGATCATAGGTTGTCCCTAGATGATGACCCAAACCAGCCTGGGCACCCAGGACATCTTCACAAAGGAAATGCCTCTAGACATGGCACCAAAGACCCAGGAGGCTCCAGCACTGTGTGGAAAGGTATCCCAGGCAGGAGGAACAGCATATGCAAAGGCCTGGGGTGGAGAGTGCAGGCTTGTGTGTGGAGAGGTCTTCTTGGGCCTCTTGGACAGGCTTAACTCCCCATCCAGCCAGGAGGGCAAGAGCTTCACCTTATCCCACAGGCCCAGGAGACTCCACAAACTCCAGCATTGGGGGAAGCCAGGAAGGGGATGAGTCTGCTATCTGTGTGGGTTCTGGTGACTCAGGTGCCATGCAGGGCATGCCCAGGTTCCTTCAGCTACTACCACCCTGTCTCTGGCCTGAGTGGATGTTGTGCTGAGCCTAGGACAGGGGAGAAAGGCTATGGGTGAGGAGTGAGAAGCATCTCTGAGAAGCTGCAGGGCAGGGGGGTTGATTCCTGGGGCTGAGCTGGGAAGGCATTCTGCACTGGGAGAGAGGTGCTGCCTGCCCAGGCTGCAGGGGGGTGTCCTGAGTGACAGGAACTGACTGGGGCAGGGAAAGAAACCTGGGGATGGGGCAGCCAGGATAGGAGAGGGTAGGGGTGTGGTTCCAGGGGAGTAGGGGCCAGAGGGCAGGAAAGTGTCTGTTGGGTGCAAGAACAAGGAGGGTGGGCGTGGCTGAGAAGGGAAGGAACAGTGAGCCGGTCTAAACCAAGCTTTTGAAAACTGAGCTGTGAAGTGGGGGGACGGGGAGCAGAAATCGGGAGTAGATGGTGAGGAGGGCGTCTGTAAGTCTGTGTTAAGATGACCTGAGAACTTGAAGCCCTGATGAGAAGAAAGAGGTTGAGGAGAGGGAGTTGGGGGAGGAGGTCCCATGGGCAGGCAGATGGTGACTCTTAGGGAGTAGGAGGTGAGGCCAGCAGCTGAGGGGTGGGAAGCCAGAGGACAAGGTTCTGAGCTGTTGGCAGTTCCAGTCAGGTGAGCTCGGTCACCAGCACCTGGGTGGGGCCTGGCCAGTGGGGTCCTTGGTGTAGAATGGGTGCAGAGTATGGAGCCAGGGGAGAGGGACTCCAGGTGACCGGTCTTGAAGCCACACTGAGACTAAGCATGAACTCTAGCTTGCCCTCAGTCTGCTGAATGACCTCCCTGCTGTCCAGGTGGGGATGTGGGAGGGAGGACAGTGGAGACAGCAAGGGCAGAGGGGACTGCTGACTCCAGGCCCTGGGGCCTGGGCTGGGGGCAGATGTCAAGTGGGGATGAGAGTGTGGGAGAGCAGTCCCCCAGCTCTGGAAGCCCCTCTCATGAACCCCCAGCTCTGGAAGCCCCTCTCATGAGCCCGACAGCGAATGCTGATGCATCCTCCCAGCACCTCTCTGTCCACACCTGCCTGGGTCTCTAGGCCTCCCTTTCCTCCTCTGTGTAGTGTGTGTGGAGAGGGCATCCGCCTGCTCTGAGGTTCCTTCTGCCCTAGTCTTCCCTGGTGATTTGGTTTAGTAGTGGTCAGACGCTTATCCCAGGTTGCTCGCTGAATCCAAGGGCAGGGGGGTCATCTTGGCCCCTTCTGCCACTCAGGACAGTCCCCTGCAGCCTGTCAGTTCCTAGGTCTCCTGTGGGCACTTCCAACACCGCACCCGGCCAGATCTGAGGCGAAACCAAAGGAAGGGCCACAAGGGGGCGCCAGGACCCAACTCTAACGGGCTCATCGAGCGCATCTCTCCGCTCAGCGGTCTCACTGTTCTTGAAAGCAGGTATTAGCGGCACTGAAAATCTGAAAGTTGTCATGGAGTAGGACCTATCGTGCCCTAAGAGGAGAGATGAGGCCTCATTCAAGCCCCAGCTTTGCCAAAGACTAGGCAAGTCCAGCCGGTGATCCCTGGGCCTTTTCCCCATTGGTCAATGGTGGTGCCTTTCTTCCTTGGGTAGGTATTGGAAGTGGGAGGTGGGCCGGCTGGGAGGGGGCCCACCACTGCCTGTGCCTCCCCACCCCCACGGGGCAGGGTGCCGGGCTGCCCCACCCTCCCACTGCCTGCTTGAGGCCTCTCTCCTACTCTTGATTGCCAGGCAAAGCTCCCATCCAGAGCCCTGCAGTGAGGCTCTGGAGTTGGCTGAGAATATTTCTCCACGAGCAAAACCTTCACGGTCCCTTGGGCGGTCAGGAGAGGAGCCCTGACTAGGCTGGCAAGGAAACTGCTGCCAAGCTCATCTTCCTGAAATCCTCACAGCAAGAAGAGCTGCCTTGGGGCTTCCGGGCCAGGGCAGGCTCTGTTTCTTCCCTACTCACCGTGAGCACCCAGGCAGAATCCCCTGGGGACCAGGGTTAGGGGCTGCACATATCTGAACCACCCCAGAGGATGGGCCCACGGGAATGCAGCCTGATCAGGAGACCATAGAGGGGACCAGAAATCAGTGCCCCAGGTGGCTCTGAGCTGGGGTGGGGTAGAGGAGCCCCCAAGAGCCACTGGTTTGGTGAAGGCAGTTCATCAGCTCTCAAGGCTGGTTCTGCCTCCAGGATCCAAAGTCACACGTTCATCCCTCTTCTATTCAAAAAGTACCAACCAGCCACTGCCTGTGTGGGGCCTCACTGTGCCAGGGCAGTTCAAAAGTGTTCACAGCTGGTCCAGCCTTTGCGAGGCCTTGACTACGGGGAGATGCTCACCTATAGCAGGTGTGTGATATGATGAGGGCAGTGACCTGGGAGGCTCTAAGGAACAGTGTTCCAGGCAGAGGGAACAGTGTAGATGAGAGCACAAGACAAGAAGCAGGACTGAAAAGTGCAGGGCCCAGGGTGGGTGGTGGGTGGGGGGTGGGGGATGGGACTTGGGCCAGGGCTCTCATATGGAAGCCTGAGGCCTCACTAAGGCCTTTGCACTTCAAACTGTGTGGCTCTCACACTGCTTCATGATTGCCCTCCCACCGGCCTGGGGACTCTCATGGCTGATGATGTCCTTGAGCCCATCCCAACAGGTGCTCTGGCACCCCCCAAATACCACATCCAAACACATTCCCCCCCTGAATTGCAGGTTGTGAGGGAATAATGGATGGGGTCAGGGACTGAGGCTGCAAGAGCAGGCGGGCAGGGGGACCGCCCAGAGAGCTGGTGCAGGGCAGCGGAGCTGCTGGGCTGCCTTCTCCACCGCAGCATCAAAGGCTGCTTGGAAACCTGGGCAGAATAAGGTGGAAATTGTCTCCACTGCTTTCTGGCCTGGGAATTCATGGTCAATGAGAGGAGATTCCTCTGTTACCATATTTCTCCTTCTGTTTGAAAGATTTTGGATCAAATAAATACAAACCATGAAGTTAAAAAAAAAAAAGTACAAACCAGAGTCATGTGTTTCTTCTGAACTCCTCTGGCTTCACCAGCCATGAGGCAAAAGGGTTCAACTTTTGAAACTGTCCTTTTCGTGTCCAAATCTGGAGCAGGCGCACCTCTGGAGGTGACATTCCAGATTTCACCTTTGCTGGGGTCATCACTGTAGTCACTTGTACCAAGAGTGACAAGGCAGCAGAGGACTGGTCCAGGAGGGCTCAGGACCCAGCTCCTGTCCTGTCTTGGCTTTGCTAGGGTCTGTGGCAGGTCCCTTAGATTTGCTGAGTCTCAGTGTCCTCATTGCCAGAAGGGGTAATTATACCTATGGGACATTAATTTTCATTTTTCTCAAAGTAATAGTGTTTCAAAAATCAACAGGTACTATAAAAACAAAAATCCCCAAATTATCTTACTCAGCCCAAACCCAGTGTCACTTTCCAGGCAGCTACATTCTCTAGAGCCACCTCTTCTGGACTCGCTTTCTCTGGAGCAGCGTGTTAACTGGCCACTCCTGGCTCCTCACCTGGAACCTCCCCTGCAGTGAATCCGGACCTTTCTCCCCAGCTCCCAGGAGCTGTAGCTCAGAAATGTTCACTAAATTGGTATTCTATGTTATCAGGACTATAACTATTTATAATACCAAGTACTATGATTAGTTTCCTTTTCCATTTTCTGGATTAATAATGGCCTTGATTTCTTGTGTCTGGTTATCTATGTTCCTAGTGTTATTTCTCCCCAATCCCATCTAATGGACACTGCCCACTGTCACCGTCCTCTCTGTCCAGTGCATCCTAGGCCTTGGCTCCATCTTTCCCTGCCCAGCCCCCTGCTCAGCCTCCTGATCCTCAGGTCCTGCAGCACAGCTCTGGCCCCCTGCTCCTCCTTGCCCCTCTCCTGTGGGGAGCCCTCATTTGCCAGAATTCTGGGTTTGTGCCCTCAGTTTGCTGGAGCTTGGCCTCAGGTAACTTTTTGAAGAATGGTGCATCCAGGGCAGTGGTGAGAGCGCTCAGCTCACCTGCTACGTCCCTGCATCTCTAAAAGTGTCTCCATGGGGTTTCGTTGGGGCTTCTCTACAGCTGAGATCCTTTCCTTTAATGACCGGTGTGCAGAAGAGTTGGCTTTCACCTGTGCTGGGCTGCGCTCCCTTTCTGGCCATTGTGAAAACACTCATTTCCCCCTAATTACTGTCTAACCTTTTCATTTTCTGTTTCTGGGGTGACTAAGCAGGCGACAGAGAAAAGCAGTACCAGTGGGAAAAGTCATAGTCACTTGGTGCTACTGCCAGGGCAGTCATTTGCTTAGACTTCATGGACTCTGTCAACACTAAGAGTTTATACACAACAAATTCAAATTTAAAAACACAATAATGGCTTTATCAAGATATAATTTACATACCATACAAGTCACCCATGTCAAGTGCACCATTCAATGATTTCAGTTGTTCAGAGCTGTGCAGCCTCCTCACAGTCAATTTTAGAACATTGTCATCACCCCCAAAAGGAACTCCACATCCATTAGCAGTTCCTCCTATGTCCCCTCAAGCTCTCATTCCTGGGCACCACTAAACTACTTCCTGTCTCTGTTGATTTGTCTGCTCTGATGTTTCATATAAACTTTGGAATCATACAGGGAGTGATCTTTTGGGCCTGGCTTTTTTCACTTAGCATAATGTTTTCAAGATTGACCCATGTGGTGGCTTCATTTATTTTTATTGCCGACTAGTATTCCAATGTGTGGATGTACCACATTTTAAAATCTGTTGATCAGCTGGTGAACATTTGGGTTATTTCCACCTTGGGGCTATTACAAATAATGCTGCTATGAACATTTGTGTATAAGAGTTTGTGTGAACATGCATTTTAATTTCTCTGGGATTTTTATCCCACTTAAAGAGTAAATGGCCAGATCATTTGGTAGCTCTTTAATTAACTTTTTAAGATTCCTTTAGCTGTTTTTCACAGCACTGCATGAGAGTTCTGATTTCTCCACATCCTCAACTTCTAATCACCTGACTTTTGTTGATAACCATCCTAATGGGTGGCTTTCTACTGGTATCCCAATGGGATTTTTTTTTTCTTTTTTACTACTGGGGATTGGACTCAGGACTTTGAGCATCTTAGCTAAGCTCTCTACCACTGAGCTGCATCCCCAGCCCTCCAGTGGATTTTTATTTATTTATATATGCCAGCAGAATGTATTACAATTCTTATTACACACATAGAGCACAATTTTTCACATCTCTGGTTGTATAAAAAGTATATTCACACCAATTCGTGTCTTCATGCATGTACTTTGGATAATAATGATCATCACATTCCACCATCATTAATAACTCTATGCCCCCTCCCTTTCCCTCCCATCTCTCTTCCCTATCTAGAATTCGTCTATTCCTCCCATGTTCCCTGTCCCTATCCCACTATGAATCAGCCTCCTTGTATCATAAAAAAAAAAAAAAAATTCGGTATTTGGTTTTTGGGGATTGGCTACTTCATTTAGCATTATTTTCTCTAACTCTATCAATTTATCTGCAAATGCCATGATTTTATTCTCTTTTGTTGCTGAGTAATATTCTATTGTGTACATATGACATATTTTTTAAATCTATTCATCTATTGAAGGGCATCTAGGTTGGTTCCACAGTTTAGCTATTGTGAATTGTGCTGCTATAAACATTGACGTAGCTGTGTCCTGTATTATGCTGTTTTAAAGTCCTTTGGGTATAGACCGAGGAGAGGGATAGCTGGTTCCATTCCAAATTTTCCAAGAAATTTCCTACTGCTTTCCATATTGGCTGCACCAATTTGCAGTCCCATGAATGCAGCAATGTGTGAGTCTTCCTTTTTCCCCACATCCTCGCCAACACTTATTGTTGTTTGTATTCATAATAGCTGCCATTCTGACTGGAGGGACATGAAATCTTAGAGTGGTTTTGATTTGCATTTCTCTAATTGCTAGTGATGATGAACATTTTTTTCATATATTTGTTGATTGATTGTATATCATCTTCTAAGAAATGTCTGTTCAGGTCCTTGACACATTTATTGATTGGGTTATCCGTTTTCCTCCAGTGGAATTTTGATGTGCATTTCTCTGATAGGAAATGATGTTAAGTGATTTTTTATGTGTTGAACAGCCATTTGAAAATCTTCTATGGGGTAGTGTCAATTCAGATAATTTGCCCATGTTTAAGTTGCAATATCTTTTATTATTGACTTGTTAGAGTTCTTAATATAGTCTAAGTAATATTATAAGTTAAATTTCCTTATCAGATATATAATTTGCAAATGTTTTCTCCCATTCTTGGATTGCCACTTTCTTGATGGTGTTATTTAAAGC